TATTTAGCATTTAAGCGTCACGCGTTGCGTAAACAAATTGTATAAACAACAAGAAAACCGGGCAAGAAAAAATAAACATAAAATAAAATCAAACACAAGCGCGTAATTCATTAAACAATTTTTTATTTGCCCCAAATGATGCTGGCGGAGGCGTTGCAAATAAGCAAAGCCGTGGCGGGAGGCGACAAAAATTTAAATGAAAACGGGGCTCAACAGCAACAAATTCAAGCCAAGGCAAGGCGCGGCAGTTGCAACAAATGCTAGATTTTATTTCAGGAATCGATTAAAGCGCAGCTGCAGTTTCGAATATAATAAAGACATTTTTCATTGAACTTATATTTAGATAAATAATTCAAGCCTATTTTATAAAAATTAAAGCATCAGTTTTGAGGTTTTCTATACGTAATTCGTAACTTGTGCTGGTTCCATTACGCTTAACAGTTGCTTAACATAATGTTAATTAGACTGAGCCTAGTCAAATCAATATTTCTCAATTGCTATTGCTTCCAAGAGTAGATATTATTTTATGTGTATTGAAAAGCATTTCAATTCCCACTTTTTTTTGTACTTTTGAGGCATTACATGACGTTTAACAGATGTCTAACAGAATGTTACTTATGCACCGCTTTTTATATGAATCGCTTTACAGATTATAATGTATCTATAAATGGCCCTCAACTGTAAAGCAGTGAGAAACTGAATAACAATTTTCTTCAGGCAGAAAAAACATCGCGCTCTTGTGAAATGTATAAAGCAACAAGAACTTTTGAGTTGAGAGCAAAGCCCAGAGTTAGGTTAACTAAAAATTATTATTGGAACACACGTAAACATTGGCCAAGCCAGTTCAGTAAACTATGAATAATGGAAACGAAATTTATGAGTTTATGGGCCCAGCTCATGGAATCCTTAGTAATGTGAAAGGAATAGTCAGGACCTGGTTGGCAATCAAATGTTGAATATATGTCTGAGATTTTTACTTGAAGTGCTACTCGAATAACTAGCAGCTGAGGGGCTGCTCTGGACACTTTTAAAGGCTGGTCACACCGACGCCCACACCTGCCCCGCCCCTCCCACGCCAACCTCCGCTCACTGTCTCGTTCTCGCGAACACATATACACACACACACACACAGTTGCACTTATTGGTTTACTTGTTTACATGACAAGCTGCTCGTTTTCACACTCTTTCTTATTTGCTTTAACATTTTCGCATGCATATGCAAGCAGCGCCACAGCACACACACAACACACATTCAACACACATTCAACACACACACACACACACACACACACTAAGAGCACGTCTGTCCAGGCAAGCTTTAAGTCTATCGCTGTAGTTGTGCCTGTTAAGTCCTGCGGTGGCATTTTGCTCATACATGTGTGTGCTATGCTATGTGTGTGTGTGTGTGTGTTGTGTGTTGGAGTTGGTGCACTTTAAGTGCGCTTGTATGCGTTGCACTTGTTTGCAGTGTTTTTACATCGAATGTTGATTGTACAAAACCACTGAACAAGAAAAATTAATTATACAAAAACGTCACCGCCAAACAGCTACCGAAACTGTTGACCCAACCCAAGGTGGAGGTTGTTGTTGTTGTTGCTGCCCCCTCCTATTGCAGTTGTTGTTGTTGTTATGGCACCTACGCTGACGCTGGTAGAAATTTTCGTATACGCTGCAAATAAACGGGGTTTTGTGCCTAACCAAGAGACAGCTGGACAGTTGGACAGCTGGACATTTGGGGAGCGACAGAGCAGACAGATGAACATGTGAAGATACATACATTGTTCAGCATATATTTCATTATGTTTATTTATTATTTAACGTATTTGGCATTAGCAGACATAGGAACAAACACAGAACTAGAGTCAGGCATAAAACAATTTTAGTTCTCTATAAATATATACAGCAGGCATATGGGTACGGGCCATGTTGAGTCAACCGCAATGTTTAAAACGAAAACTAATAAATCATACAAAAAGCAGACAAATAACCAGCCACAGATAGAGATAGCTGGGCACAGTGCAAAAGAGGGGAAAGGACAGAGAGAGAGAGGGACGACAGCAGCTGCTGCCCACATTTCTGGGCTGCATATAAATCAATTTATGCAAGCGCTTAAAATACGCAGCAAAATGCTTAAAATTGGAAAATGGACAAAATATAGAATTGAAATCAAATAAAGTAATAGCAAAAAAAGGAGAAGCGAGTTTTTGCCAAACATAAATTTGGGGTGGCAAATGCCATTTACGGCCCCAAAAATTGGTTCGAATGCGTCCCAGGCGAGGCTTTTAAGCAAATGCAAAAACTTGTAGCATACTTTTAAGCGGGCACGCTTAAAACGCAGCCACGCAGCATGTAGGCGAGGCAGGCGGGTAAGGGGCATGGGAGAGGGCCAGCTTGCTTGGCTTGAGCCAACGCCGCGGGCTGCTACGTGTTCAAGTGTGAAGCTGGCATTGCCACGCCCACCGACAAACACAAGCAGCAAGTAGCAGCAGTAGGCGTGGCAGCGCCCAGCGTCTTGTGGGCGGCACAAATCGACGTTGGCAACGCTTAAGTATATTTCATTTTTTTATTTTTACTTTTTACGCTCTTTTCTGGCGTTGTTGCTTTTTGTTTTTGCTTGTTCGGCGCACGGAAACTGCGTTTTTTTTTCCCTCCCCCACATTTTTTGATTTTTTCTGATTCTTTTTCTCTTTGCATTTTTCTATGGCACTGCATTTAGATGTTGATGTTGCGCTCAGCTTTTGTTGCGGTGCTTAGAATTGCTTGCCGGAGCCGCATGCCCCCACGCAATCCCCTGCTCCCCACAGAATTAAGTTTTTATTTCAAGCATCTAACGGAAGTGTTGCTGCGCTTGTTGTTGCTGTTGTTGTTGCTGCTGTTGTGTGTATGCGAAATTGCAGCCAAGAAGTAAGCAGCGCAGTGAACAGACTGGGTGCTGGAGAGTGGGAGTAGGAGGAGGGGCGAGTCACAGCTGCCCGCAGGGTTAGCAGGAACTTGAAGTTTTATTCTCTTCTGCCCAGTTGTAGCCAACATTGTGGCACATGGAGCAGAGCAGAGCTGATGACAACGACAATAACTGTAATGAAACTGAGATAAGCCGCTGGTACTACTACCTATTCAGCCAGGACGAGGGCAAGGATGAGGGCAAGGGCGGATGGCAGCTGAAATAGTCGCCGCAGGAGCAAATCGCCTGCTCATTTGTTGCGCCATTGTTGTTCGCCCGCCGCGCTGAATTGTTTGAAATGAAGTTTTGCACGACTCCAAGATGATTATCAAAGGGCCAACTTGCAACTGAAACTGAGAGCCGAAGAGCACAAAGTCCAAGTCCAACTACAAGTCCCAGCAGTAGACAAGTTCAAAGCTGAGTTTTAAGTTTTGATTTGAAAATAATTAGGAAATGGTTTCGGTAAGCGTTTATCCAAGAAAATAAAATATACATTTAGATATACGCCTGACAGCTCTTTTTGTATGATAAATTAGACTAGAATAAGTATAGTAAATTAGACTAAAATGAGAACATTCTGATATATGTCAAATAAATCGAAATCAGCAAGATAGAAATAAAACATCTCTCATCATCTTCATAAATATGATTCTTCTAATTATTTCACAGCCAGCGCTTAAAGTTCTCAACTGGTTTTAGCACAGATATAAATTCCAGCTGTGTTCTTTATTTTTGCGTGTTTTCAATCAATTTTCGTTTGAAAATAATTAATGAGTTACTTAGCACTGATTGGCCTGGCCCTGGACAGCCAAAATTTTGCGCTCGCTAACGTTACTTAAAAAAACAGCCACTTCGTATTTCAGGCTAGCGAGTGCATAATTTAAAAAATTCGTTACTTTGTTACCATCCCCCGAAAGTGGGAGCAACAGCAGCAACAAGAACAAGAACAAGAAGAATGCCATTTATCCTGGCGCACGAAGTGGACTGACAGCCTCAGCCTTCAGTTGACGCCTTCTCCGATTCCAATGTCGTGCTTGCTGTCAGCTTCAACTATGCTCCGGCACACACACACACACACACACACACACACACACACATGTACAACAAAAGAAAGACAGACAAACGGTTGGAACTCTTGGCGTTGACATTGCCAGCCTGCAGAGGCCCAAAAATATATTTTGCGTGCTTCCGTCAAGTCGCATTGCGTGCGCGGGGAACTGAAGCTGGAGAGCTGGAACTGGGAGCTGGGAACTGGTAGCTGGCAGCTGGGGGTGCAGAGGCTGCCTCTGGGCTGTGAGCGACGCCCATTCCTCATGTTTGGCGAGTGATTTATTTGACTGACACTTTTTTCTGCGTTGATTGCATCGTAATCCCAACATAATGAGTACTGTTATATTTCATGGCCATTCTCGTTGCAGAGAGGCCCAAATGAAGTAGACAATTTTTCAAAAACAAAGACGATATCTAATGGGACGGCAATGGGGGCGGGACGGTCTCGTAAGCGTTGTGCTTCAAATATGGGGGCTGGTCCATTGTGCATGTGACACACGTAGGCCACTTGAGGACCCCAAACACGGACACACGGACACACGGACAGACGACTTCGGCCCTGGCCACAAAAATTATTGCGCTCAAATTTCCATCATTTGTTCGCGTCGTCAAGTTTTGCGCAATTTTCCGTCCAATTTTTTTTATATTTTTTTTTTTTTGCGAACTATTGCAACTATTTGTAATGCTACACTTCAACTATTTCCAAATGGCCACAAAAAATATGCTGCTTACACTGGCAAAAAAAAGAGGCAGCTACATAAAGCCCGAAATTCTCACAAAAGAACTGTCGAAGATTAACCTGATAGAAATCATAATATTTTGAAAGATTAATTTAGAATGAATTAGGTACGAACCAAGGCATTGGTTCAAATCGTGAACCGAATCATAAAATCCCTTTTGGTTGCCTTTGCAGCCTTAATTTATATAAAATTCTTTACCTATCTTTATCTAAGATCAAGCACAATTTTAAGGTGCGAACAGTCGAGCCTATCGGTAGTCGTGTTTTCCAATTATTCAGTTTTGCTTTTAGCTTCAAAATTATTATGCGTATTGCTAGAAATAATGTTTATAAACTTTCGGAACTTGCAAAAGGTGCGTGGATTCCGTGCGCTCATCATGGGTCCGCCAGGCAGCGGCAAGGGCTACGTTTCCGACAAGATTGTGCAAACTTATGGCGCTGTGCACATCTCTGCGGGCGATATATTGCGCAAGCATATACAGAATCGCACAGTACTGGGCAAGACGGCATCCGAGCTGATTAGCCACGGCCATCTGGTGCCCGACCATTTGTTGGCCGGCGTAATTACGACGGCCGTGTACAACGCCAACGATCGAAACTTTATACTCGACGGATATCCGCGCACTCTGTCTCAGGCTCAACACTTGGAGGGTCTTGTGAAGCTGGATATGGTCATCAATCTGGATATACCTGTGGAAGCCATATTGGACATGCTCAAGCATCGCCGAATACATGTACCCTCTGGCCGCGTATACAATGAGGGGGACAAGGCGCCGCTCGTGCCCGGACGCGACGACATCACGGGCGAGCCCTTGGAACGGCGACCCGACGACAAACCGAACGTTGTGCAGGCTCGTTTGGCCGCTTTCGATGGCCAAATGGATCCGATTATACGATTTTACAAGAAAAAACACATTTTGCACACCATCACAGGACGAACTCATCACAGCTTGTGGCCGTTGGTTGAGAAATTTCTGAAGAAGCGCTGGAAAAACTATCCGGCGCGTACCTTCAGGCCGCAGAGGGATATAAACTTGATCAAGATCTGCTAAGTCGAAATCAAATTTTATTTATTTGAGATATATGGACACACGTAAACATGGACATATGGATACATTTTATTATACTCCTAAATATTATAACAATTGACTTGTGAAACCAACATAGGATCTCATTTTAAAGGTTTAAGGCATAATAAAGTTTTAATCGAAATACTTTATGGTAGATGGGTCTCACATTCAAAATATAACAGTTGGGGTAAAAACTGCTAGTCGTCTGTATAACAGTTGGCATTCTAGCAAATTGCAAAGCCAATTTAGGCAAAACTAATCGAACAGAAATCGTAACTATTTGCCGTATAACAGTTTTATTCGTCGCTGCTTTAAGACAGAAGCTTATCATGTATGGAAAAACTGTTATACCTGCAATATGTTTTTTTGTGATAAGAAAAAATTCTATAGATAGATCAATTCGTTGAATTTCTCAAAGTGGAATACTTGCATTTGTATGAAAAATGGGATACTTTGGTATAATTTGCCACAGTCGAAGAGAAGTCTACGCCGCAGTTGAGTTCGTACTGTCTGAATTTGTTTTCGTACTCTCTGGCATTTTTCAAACATTGTCGGACAAAATTTACGACAGAGATTACACTATGCGAGGCGGGGTGAGGCGTGGCGCAGCGAGTAGGTATATGACGAAATTGGCTCAGACGTAGGAGCTAATTTCTAGATCCACTCTACGTCCAGGCAGCAGCCCAGTCGCAGCCGCAGCTGTGTGCGCTGGCAATAAAAACTTTTATTATTGTCACACGTAGCAGCAGCAGAAGCCAAGTCCAGCCACAGCTCCAGTTTCAACTCCTGCATAACCTGCGTACACACTTCCGTTTTCCGCTTTGCGTTGTCCTTTGTTTTGTTTTCTTGTTCTTTTTTTTTTTGGGGGAGGAGGTTTGGGCTGTGGGGAGCCAGCCAAATTGAATAAAATGGCCTCAGTTAATGGTTGTCGGGCTGATTCAGTTAGCGCATAAAATGAGCAGGACCTCGAGCCTCGCAACTACCCGCTTCCAGCATCCGTTTAGCTCCTGCTCATGCCATGCGTCCTCCTGGCTTCTATCCGCTCCTGCCACTTCCTGTACGAGCACAGGCTCTGCTCCTGGGTCGTGCCTGTGACTGCGCCTGTGTCTCTGTATATATTTTTGGTCACAAATGTGGCACGGCCTAAATCTCGGTTTTACGAGCGCATTCTTTTGTTTGTTGCCATTGCCGTTGCCGTCGCCGTTGCCCTTCGCCATTGTTTTGTTTATTATGTATTTGTTTCATTTTTACATACTTATTTTTTGTCTGCTTCTTCTGTTCCAGTCTTTAGTTGGCCCATTATGCGACTCTCTGGGCGGGGTGTGTGTGTGTGTGTGTGTGTGAGTGTGGTGTGGGGCACGGAGGCAATGTGATGTATGCGTTTGTATTAAAATGTAGCTATGCGCCATGCATATATTCCGCACAGATTACATGTATAGCAGTCATTTTATTCATTCGTATAACAGTATAATAGTTGCTGTATAACAGTTGGCAATGCAACAAATTGCAGTCAGCACATGAATAAATGCATGCGAAATTCAGAAAAAAAAAAAACAAAACAAACAAAAATGTTGGAAAAGTAAAAGATTTGACGCACGAAAATTGCGAAGAGTACGGCGAATATTTTAGTCGGTTGGCAACGTCAGCCTCCAAAGCCGCATTTAAATGAACGACGACGAAAAGTGCAGACAGTTGGACATGCAAATGTCAGTTTTCAGCAGAGGATGAGGTTAAGCAGCGGGCTGAGGGATTTCGAGTGAGAGGGTAGCTGCTGGAAGTGGGTGGAGGGGTGGATGGGTAAAGGGGGTGGTGGCAGTTCCTGACGAAATGGCCGTTCGCTGGTTCGTTGGTTGGTTGAGTGTTTAAAACGGCTATTGTGCAGCTTGTGGTTGCTTTGCAAATTGAATAAAAGTTCATTCGAGTGTAAGCGAACCGATAGCAGCGCACCAACACAACAACATACCCACACACACACACACACACACACACACACACACACACACACATGGGCAGTCCGGAACAAAAAATTGAAGGGCAGGGTATTGGAAGGAAAAGGCAGAAAAAAAAAAACTGCGAACCAACGAACATTGAATGAATGTGAATGTAATCGTTTTGCAAATGAAAATTGATTTTTGAATTGTGGGCACGGTCCGGTCTCTCTATCATTCGAGCGACTCAGCTCAACTAAATGAAATCAGCGACAGGACGAGGACGGGCAGGGAGCGGGATGGGGCGAAAGGGTATCCCGTAAACGTTGCGCAGTTCGGTTTTTAATTTAAAACGCAAAATTTCAATATTATTAATTTAAATGCACAAAAAAAGAGTGCGAGACGAACTAAAAAAGTGGCATAAATGATGCACAGCTTAAATATTTGAATGGGTTGCCTAATAATAGTGCCAGCCTGCGATTGTGTGTGTGTGTGTGTGTGTGTGTGCTTGCGTGTGCGTGAGGGCGAGAGGGTGTGCGAACGCAGAAAACTATGCTATACATTTTTTATGCTGCCCCAAGAAAAGCAACAAAAACAAGCGGAAAATATGCGCTTGCCAGTTGACGGCTCCGGCACCGGCTCCAGCTCCGGCTCCGGCTCGGGCTGAGCCAAAGCTTTTCTTATGCCACAGCGTTTTGCACGATTCAAAGGACCAAAAAAGAAAAGAAAGAAAAATAAGAAAATGGAACTGGCGAACGGACAATCAACCAGAGAGAGAGAGTGAGAGAGAGAGGGTGAGAGACAGAGACAGACGAACGGAAGGACGGACGGGCAACAAAGTGGATTTGAATTATTCAAAAAATGCGATTGTTATTTGCAAAATGTGCAGTGAATTGAGACGCGCACAGACAGGCGAAGACGAAGACGTCGACAATTCTAGCTGCGATTTACGGTGAAAATAATGTTGTATTTATGAGTCGGAATAGTTCGGCCTGAGCAGCTGTCGGCGGGTTGGGGAGCTGCACACCAATTAAATTCAATGATAGTGGGAATTGTGCTGCAACTGGAAGCTGTTAAATGTGAAATTTATGCAGCTGAAAAGCTTCGAAATTATGGAACATATAAAAGTTTGTGTATAACAGTTATCGAAAATAAAAGAACCTATTAGAAGACAGCAGCACTTATCTGAAGACAACTAGAACCCATTTAATATATATATTTTTCTTTGTAAAACAGTTTTAAAATATGTTGCGTAACGAGAACAATTGTGAATTGAATCATAAAACTAATAGAATAGTTCTTCTTAAAGATTGGCAGGACATAGTTGGCAATGACAGCTGTTAAATACTTTGTATAACAGTTGTAAAATGTGTGTTCGGATGTTCTATGACACTAAAATAATTGTTGAGGTGAACTAGTAGAAGAGTTTCAATAACATCATGGCAAGGGCTTAAGCATAGTCAGCTGTAATAAGCTTGTGTATGACAGTTGTAATAAATAAATAAATATATGAAGCATAGTAAATAGTATAACACATTTTAAAGCCTTTGTTAAAAAGTATTAGGTGTACATTATGACAACTTAAATGCGAGTATAAAAGTTGACAAAACTTATTAACAAAAAACCTTTAAGAAGTTTTCAAATAAACTTTTGGCCATGCATATGTTCTAGTATAACACTTCTGTAGAGTGCTTAATACTGAAGGCCTAAGTATATGATGTCTATAATATGAAGGAATTGACTTAAATATTTGTCTAACAGTTTATATATATTGAAGGGGGTTTGCTTGTCAGCTTGGAGAGTTGTATAATAGTTATTAAGAAATTAATGCAGCTGCCAATGCTGCCCATGCTGCGCAGTATAATAGTTTTCAAGGCAAAACATGAACTGGACTTGCCGTAATTGACAGCCCCATCATCAGTCTTGGCTGTTTAGTCGTTCGTTTGACAATTTCTATCCATATAACAGCTATTTATCATCACAGCAGGCCACAATAGCCGAGCCGAGCCAAGCACCGCACCAGCTACGAATCGTTGCTGACACTGCACTTCCCTGTCGGGCGCCAGTGTTGGCAAGTCATTTAAAATGAAAGCGCTGTCAGCGCTAGCTATGAACCACCCAAACCATCAACCCAACAACAGCCCATTCAGGCAGCCTCGCCTCATTCCAGTGAAAAAAACCAAAAAGGTTTTAATCAGTTATTCATGAGGCCGAGAGCACGACGTCAAACAAAAGCCGCTGCGCCGGTTGACATTGAAAGCCAGGCGGCCAGCCGAGATGCGACGGACAGAAGAAAGAAGAAAGAGCTGCAGCATATTAATACGAAAGAGAGAAAAAAAATTTATGAGCTGGAAAAAAGGCTGCAACTAAGGCAGGCAACTCCGGCAATAACAATTGGCTGCAACTTAAAAGGCGAGGCGGGCGCCAAAGAGTTTGTTTATTTTCGGAGCGGGACACAGACACGCGGGCCAAGAGGGGGAGACAGACAAACGTACAGACAGACTGACAAATAGAAGCAGCAAAAGCTGCGCGGGATTGGGAATGTTTGCTGCTGCTGCTGCTGCTGTTGCTGTTGCTGATGATGAAGACTGACTGACAACTAGATGATGTGCAAGGCGGGTAGGGGGGTGAAGGTGGCGTCTTATGTTGACGGAACCACTCCAAACTAATGAGTATGCATATTGTATGCATGTGTGAGTGAAAGGCTGTTTGTTGCCTTTGTTGCAACAACTCAAAATGCACTCGGACGCCTACGCGAGGCAGGTGGCAAGAATAGCAGCCCGTGTGTGTGTGTGTGTGTGTGTGTGTGCGTGTGTGTAGGTGTCAGGGGTTGGGTTTGCTGCTTGACGCTGATTTTGTTTTGTTGCGCTGACAGAGCTTCAAATTAGTTGGCACAAAACATAAATGCAAATGAATGCGAGCACTCCACAAAACAGGGGGTTGGCAACGCTCGCAACGCTCACACTCTAACACCCTTGCAGCCCTGGCACCCTCGTAGCCCTGGCTGAGACTTATTAATGCAGGGCTGATTGGACTTTTTGTTTGTACACGCACACAGTCGGGCTCATTGCACTTAAGTAGCTGGGTTTTAAACAATTACATTGGACGACGCCTTAGCACATTACGAGTCATGTAAGCGCTACCTTTCCCCCCCCCCCCCCCCATCCCCCTCCTCTCACGCTGTTTCATTTGTGCTGGTGTAAATGCCGCTGCTGA